TCTGTACCTAAGAATGCACAATCTTCTAAGTAGAAGGAAAAAGTGGAAGAAGATAGCAGTGCCAAGGTGGATCCACTGCTTGAGACCTAAAAGGCCATGCTGAAGATCCTTCTGGAGAGAATCTATCCATGCGGTCACTCAGAGTCAACATCAACTTGATGGCACTTAAATAAAGGATGCACAGCTAGTTTATGCTATCACACGCTCATTCATTTCCCAGAGGCTATGAGAATGATGGACAACTTGGCTGAATCACTCTATCTATTCCAGAATCAGGAATCTGGTAGCATCTCTTCACTCCAAAGCTTTCATGAGCTACAGCTCACTTCATCAGCAGTTAGACCAGGGTTCCCCAAACTCTGCAGTTCACTAACCCCTTCATGACGTTTCAGATTGTTCATTGACCCCCAAACATTTATTACATGAAAATAATTTAATAAATGCTACTTTAACTAATAGTACTACGAATAACAACAACAATGGGTAGTCCCGTCAAACCTTGGGGGCCGATGTTGACCACTTTGGGGAACCCTGGGCTAGACTGAAGTAGGACATACTATACGCACTATAATATATCCTACTCCATCCAACATCCTATAACCTTTTCTAAGAGACAAGGTCTCCCGGCATCTGGGATTGCACTACTGCAATGCACTGTACATGGGACTGCCCTTGATGACTATTCAGAAGCTGCAGTGGTACTAGCAGTAATGGGCATGCCTCAGCAGGCCCATGTGTCACAACTGCTCTGTGAACTGTGCTGGATGCCAGTGAGTGTCTGGGTGCAATTCAAGGTGTCAGTTACAACTTCCTTCTTGACGCAGAGCTAGTATTTTTAAGGGACTGCCTATCTCTCATGGTTTCTGCCCATCCAGTCAGATTGGATAAGGTTGGTCTGCTGTGGGTCTCATATATTAAACAATATATCCGCTGGATCCTGGGAAGCATGCCTTTTCTGTTGCTGTGCCTGCTCTCTGGAATAGCATTCCCACAGAAATCTGTGTGCCTCTCACCCTAACATTGTTCCAGAAGTTCTTGAAAACTTGGCTCTTCTCCCAAATCCTGGGGTAGGGTGGCTGCTGAGCCCGTTGGCTACGTTTTTGTGTAATATGTGAGGTTTGTCTTGTCTGGACATACATGGTTTCTTTTGCCTACTACTGTTTTTTACTCTTTTATAATGTAAGCAGCCCAGGGTTGTTCTGGAGTTGAGTGTCCTTAAATCCAATTAATCCTCCATCACCTAATGATTTGGCCTAGCCACTGTTTGATGCCATCTCAGTGATTTTATTTATCTACTGCCTATATTTGTACCTGGTTTCCCACACAATTATATCTAACTGCAAACAACAGTTTAAAAACTAAATAAACAGATGAATTAAAAAGCGGGCAGTGAAGGAAAGAAAACAACATTCCTCCAACATTATACAAGGAAATGAAGTGACAGCTCTTCAAAAGGGACCTAAAAGATGTGATAGCAAGATGTCATAAATTTCCAAGTGAGGGAGATCATGCCAAAGTGCAGATACTGCAGAGTGTGACATCCCAGAACAATGTGTGACACTGTAAGAGAACAACCATCAACAATGAGCAATTATTTCCAAGATTAAGGGACCTTCAAAAAGAGGGGGGGGGGAGGAAACAGTCAACATTCAGGGAGAGGTAATTCCATAAAAGGGAACACCTACCACTTTCTACCAGGGCCTCTCAAGATTTAAGTCAATAAACATAACAGCTTATAACTTAGCTGTCTAACCAGCTTATCATATAATAAAGGAAGGGTATTAGGAGTAATAATAAGGGAGAAGATGCCAAAGCATCAACACAGCATGAAACATGTCAGATAATAGAGATCAGGAGTAAGCAATCTGGCTTCTGTGCATATCACCTTTGGGTATTAAGTTTCCTATCTCACTTGACTTAACTTTTTAAATTAATAGCAATTAAATGAGAAGTGGGCATGCTGCAAAGCAAATTCCCCAGCAGAGACACTCTTAGACAAAGAAAATGCCGAGTCAAGTTTAGCACTTAGCATAGATAGTGAAGAAGATGGCCTTGATCAAGCAGGGAAACATTACTTAAGCCCAAACAACAAAGGAGGAATGCAAAAACATCTCAGATACCTCCTTAATTCACATTAGTATAAGAGGGGGTAAACCATAATCAGTCTTGCAAAATTCTGTTACAAGTGGTTCTCGACGTACGATCACAACTGGGACCAGAATTTTGGTTGCTAAGTTAAGTGGTCATAAAGTGAGACATCATGTGACCGGATCATTTAGCGACCCAAATCCCAGCAATTCCCCTTGCCACTGTTAAGCAAATTTTACTGGTTGTTAGTCAAGGACCCACCCCAATCCAAGCCATTCCAGGCTTGGTCCCTCCCAGCCCCAAGCCTCAGTAAGGTAAGGGACTGCCTCTGTCTTTGGAAAAATGTGCTGTCTTTGGAAAAATGCACTATCTTTCTAAAGGCTATCCAAAGACAGTGCAGCCTTCTCAGGGAGCCATGTGTAGGAAATGTTTGATGGAGAAGCTGGGTCTGAAAAGGAGACAGCAAAGGCAGTGAGGCGCTTCTGTTTTGACCACAGGAGCTGGGCACAAAAGGCAAAAAGTTGGTGCGGGGAACTGGGAAGGAAGGCAGCTGGGTGAATGCATGCTTGCTGGGACTTCCCGGGCACTGCGGCTTGCAGGGGTGGGCTGGGGCACCTGAGGTTTCCAGGGGCGGCTGTGGCTTTGTTGCAGCTCAGGGGCTTCTTGCAGCGCAGAGCCATGAGGTTCTGGGGCTGCTTGCTGTCCTGCAAGGCAGGGTGCAGGACGGCCAAATGGGCAGAGATGGGGGGGGGAATAGGTGAGTGGGGAGAGTTGGAGGCAGTCTCTTACCTTACTGAGGCTCGGAGCTGGGATGGGCTGACTGCATTGACAAGCTCATTGGGTGCCTCAAATGTCAGAAAGGGCCGGATTACCATTAACAGGAATGGGGGAGAGGGGCTACCAGCACCAACCTGGCTGGTTGGGGAGTTTAGGGGCCTGTCCAGTCTAAACAAGCAGAGTGGAAAGTGGTAGTTGCCAATTCAAACCTCTTCAGTCAGTGACTGCTGAGGACTGCCCAAGTGAGAGATGAAGCAGGGGGTTGGTGGCCCTTTCTATGGTGAGAGACGGTCTGGGGGTAAAACCCAACCAACTAGACATTAGCAAGAGACATTAGCATTACTGTGACATAGGAAAGATATATGAATTAGTATGTGTGCATGACTATGTAATGGTGAATGCAAAGGGCTCAGGATGTATGGTTGGTATTCCAGTGTCAGGTCTGGATTATTGGGCTGGTTGAAGAATAAGGAAATTCCCTTTTAGTTGCAAAGGGAGGGAAGGGAGGGCTGGTCAACTCTGTCATGAGGGCAGCAAGGCAGTTATAACACTGTAGGGAGATGTGGCTAGGAGACTGTTTAAGTGGAAGGGAGACCTCCAATCCAATTTCCAACCTCCTTGCTCCATCTTGGGAGCCAGGTGGACAGGCTGCTGGAAATCTTGGCCTCAAAATACTGATAGCTAATGCCAGGTCTGTTTGCAATAAGACCTTCATTCATAACTTGGCAGCAGATGAGACAGCAGGCCCAGCATGTATTACTGAAGCTGCCTTTAAAGATTACTTTAATAGAAATTATAGTTACAGATAGTCCTCTACTTACGAACTTTCGAGTTACAAACTTTCACCAATACAAACAAACCTGTCCGCAACTCCAACCTAGAAGGTCCCGGAAAGTGGGAGAAGGCGGGAAAGGGTCGATCTATGGCGTGCTGCATACATACACTTGGCAGCACTGTCATGCGTTGGGAGGCTGAGTGTTTTATACTTGTTTGGACTTATAAACAAAATGGATTTACAAACAGCTTCCTGGAATGTAACCTGTCTGTAAGAAGAGGACTGTCTGTAGTCTAGAGGATAGTGGCCCACATGTTAACTGGCACCTTACATTCATACTGCAGATCCTACACTGATTACTGATTCAGTTCTGGGTACTGGTTTTAGTCTACAAATCCCTTTGTGGCTTGGCACCTGGAGGATCACCTTTTCTGATCTTTATCAGCCCAACATATTAATTCATTGTAGGAGAAACTCCTCATGGCCCCACACTTCCAGGAGATGAGGGGACCTGAAGCTAGAAGGTGCTGCTTCTCAGTGGTAGTGCTGGTGCTGTGGAACAGTCTTCCCACAGAGATTAAGCTAGCCGTCTCCTTGACGACTTTCAGAATGTTGTTAAAAACTGAGCTTTTCTAAAAAGTCTGCTTGTGATGGTTATCTACTGTGCTACATTTTACTTTTTACTTTCTAGTTTTGTCATTTTTATTGTTATGCAATTAAGCTGGTCGTTAATTTTATCATGTAGTTTTCTTGTTTTAATCATACCCTTTTTTTCCCCTGCATATCTTGTAAACCACTGAGACTTCCAACACTGTGGCAGGATATAAAATTCAATCAATCAATCCACTAATAAACCACCAATGTGTTTAAAAACTGAAGTGCCCTTTGGTCTTAGACAGCTTAGAGCAGTTCTGCAATTCAACAGAACAAAGGATAATTGAATAATCAAATAAATATATGAAGGAAGAATAAAGGGGTTGAGAAAAAAGGGAAGACTGAGAAAGTTATGGTTGAACTGAGTTGATGAAATCTTCAAAAAGAGAGAAATGGGAAGCTTAAAGAATAAAAGGCATGCATAAATATGATGGAAAAAAGGATAGTTTGTGAGGATAGAAAGGCATCAAGAGGATAATGAAGAAAGGGAATCACTATTATTATTTCCTTCTCTTCCTTCTCCTCCTCCTTTGCTTTGTGTCTTTAATTCATTTTGCTTATTATTTCTTACTCTTTTTCTATACTTTGCAGGATGCTGCTTTTCTCAAAAGAGAAAAGTGTGTTGTGTATATATGTATTAACATATAAAGGAAATGTCAATGTAATTACACAGGGAGGTGAGGAAATCCATTTCTGTTACTCTTACCTGGAGATCTGATGCCCAGCATACAGCAACAGTGCAGTTAGAAAATACAGGTAGAGCTGAACCAGGTGTTGTCTGGGCAAGGTTAGGAGCACAACACTTAAGATATAACCTGGATAAGAAATTGAGATAATACAGAGTTAACTACAGGAATCCTTACTGAATGATATTCATTCATTTGTGTGAAGATGTCATGATGTACCCTGTGGACCTCAATGCTGCTCTTGTCTCATTACTGATTCTTAGCCTCTACATGGAGACCCAAGCATCACCCAAACTTTTGGATGAACAGCATCTTCATCTTGCTGAGATTAAGCTTCAGTCTTTTTGTTCCTATCTGGTCCCTCACAACCTCCAGACACTGGATTAAGGCCTCTACTATATCTTCAATTAGAACCAAATCTAAGAATGACTTTTCCCAGTAGTTTAACATGGATGTTAAAAAGTTGGGTGAGAGGGCTGAGCCCCAAGACACCTCTCTGCCATCAACTTGACTTCTCCATCTCCAGCACTACTGGTTGGAACTGCCTGTTCAGGAAGGAGTGGAACCACCCGCACTCAATATTTGCAAGCAATGCTATCCTTTCCCAAATCTTCTAATGGTCCAAAAAATACCATGGATGTTGGTCTCAAATGCTGCTCAGAAGTCCAGAAGGATTGTACCTCAGTTACTACTGCCTATCATCCACCAGAGTGACCAATGAAGTTTCATCCCACGCCTAAGTTTGAACCAGGACTGTGAAGAGGTCCAGATAATCCATTTTGCCACTCATATCCTGAAATCCATTTTGCAACTCATATCCTGAAATTCTGCAACTCATACCCTGCCGCTTTCTCCAAGACCTTCTCTAAAAAGAGAAGGTTGGATACTGCACAGAAGTTATCTAGGAGGATTGAACCCAGATATGACTTCTTCAGAAGTCATTAAACCATTGCCTCCTTCAAGGAAGCTAAGACAAACCTATTCCCCAAAGAATAATTCACTATGTCCTAAATCCAATCACCTGCAAACCTTTGCTTGCCCTTAAGAGTCAGGAACAGCAAAAATGTAGCCACAGGTGACAGAGTTCATGGTGCAGGGCTCCTTATTCACTGCCTCAAAATCCACAGGTTCAAATGAACCCCAGGTGACATATAAGATGTTGCTCCAATCATCTCCTTGGAGAATGTCCATACATAGTCCAAACCCAGTGAATGTGAATGATTTGGTGGCATACACATTTAGTAAATAAAATACATTTTATTGGTATAATGTTTAGCAAAAGTCTTACAAAATCTAGTTGATGTATTGTCCTACCAGTACCTCCCAAACAAAGCTTTAAACAAAGCCATGGGATGGCAGAATTTTACTGACACTCGGCCATTCTTATCACTACTGTATAAGCCCAGACATGGGCTTACCTGTGATCAGTCATCTTCTTTACAGTGGAACCTTGGTTTACGAACTTAATTCGTTCCATGACTCTGGTCGCGACCCGAATTGGTCGCAACCCGAAGCCAATTTCCCCATAAGGTTCAATGTAATTACCGTTAATCCGTTCTGGCCTGGAGGATAAGGAGGCGGCTATTGCTTGGAGGGAGAGTCGCCCTCCCTACGACCAAGTGTCAGGGGTGGAAAATGGCTGCGGACCACGTGTCAGGGGCAGAAAAATGGCCGCGGACCACGTGTCAGGGGCGGAAAAATGGCTGCGGACCGTGTCACAGGGGGGAAAATGGCCGCGTATCCTGTTTGTAATCCAAGGCGGAGTTTGTGAACCGAAGGAAAATTTTGTGGCCGGAGCTGGTCGTCACCCGAAAAGTTCATACAGAACAGAAGCGTTCGTAACCAGAGGTTCCACTGTACTTGTCTTCCTCCACCAGTGCTCTAGGCATCACTTTTGACATTTCATCTCAATAATTTTCCCGGGATCACAAGGAACAGAGAGAATCCACTTGAGGCTAGTCACTTCCGATGCTTGGGGTGGACAATCATAACTGCTCCTCCACCCTGCCTTCCAACTGAGTATAACATGCAATAAAGTGGACTCTTGTCCATAAAAACTTAGGCTATTTAGCTAACGCTTAATCTCAATCTCACCCTTTGTCTAAGATGCCATAGAGTTCTCTTTGATTTTTTTTACTATTGTGCAAACTGTTATAAAGTAGCACTAGCAAGTCCATTTTCTCCTTGGGTGCATTTTTCATTTGAATAAAATATGTTATCTACTCTGAAGAATAGTCTGCACTCTAGAAAAACAAATGCACCAGGAACCAACTTCTGAATGGGAAGTTTGTTTCTTGCCTAGTTCCTAAAATGATTGCTGATGGAAAACAAAACAGAAAATTATTTCCTCCTTCCCATGTCAGTTATTAGGTCAGATATCAAAAGCTTTAAAATACAATCTTGTTTGTATCTTTCAACAAAGACGACAATGAACAGAGTTAATTCTGCAAGAATTATTGCAATCATACGAATCTTTTCCCATTGCAAACTGACTTCTTCCTGTCACCTACAATGGTGGGGGTGGTAGCAGTGGTAGTGACTGCCTGGAATGGATCATGAAAAGTACCTTTGCTTTTGCCAAAAATGCATTTTAAAAATCAAGATTTGAAACACGGCAATGGTAAAGCCTGGCTGTCCAGATAGTAAACAAAGCTCTTGAATGCACATCAGCAAAAGGCAGCAATCCAATGCTTAGTGTATTACATAATGTGAGTCACAATCAGGATCAGTTTCAATCACTAGTTTAAAAACCTAATGTTCAGATTTAAATCCATGCATAAGCAAAAAATGAAATAAAGGATGCCTATATTTAGGCCAGGCGTTCTAGCCCTGTTTCTGGTCTATCCACGGGAAAAAAGAAAGAAAAGAAAACCCATTAATGTTTAAATGTAACATTAAACCTTGACAAAGTGGAATAATATTTATTATACTCTCCATTAAATTGTTAGGGAGCTTGTGCATAAACAGAAAGTGTAAATCTGAGGTTGCACTGTCTTCTTAATATTAATCTTTTTTGCAGTGTCCTATGTTCAACAAATCCATAATTCTTCATACAGTGAAATGTCAGTATCTAATTAAAAAGTACATTCATTGCTTTAAACCAGTGATTCTCAACCTTTTTGAAGCTGCCGCCCCCCTAAGGAGCGGAAAATTTTTCAACGCCACCCTTTTGGGGGGGGGGGGGGTTACGGAATTATAAAAGGCAAAAATTTTAGGAAATTTTTTCCAGTAGACTTACACACCAAATTTGT